TGTGTTGTTTTACTAAATTGTAGCGTTAAACTCATGTTTGACTTCCATACTTAAATACTTCACTCAGTTGCTTCCAGTCTCTAACACTTTTTACAAAATCAGAAAATCTGTATATTTTTTAGAATAACTAAATATCTTTATTCAAATATATATTCTATATATATTTATACACCCATCTTAAAAATAAAGATACAGCAGTCAAGTCAATTAACCTTTTCCTAAGCCCCGCCCCTCATATCTACTGCTACTAGCTGTCAGAGCTACGTTACCATAGAGCCCACACTGTAACTAACTGCACTCCCTGAATGAATACGATCTAATTCATGGAAAAACTTAAAAAAAGCGAAATGAGAGAGAAGCAGACAGAAGGGTCAACAACATGCGTTTGAAGGCTATATCCAGGATGTCAAGCTGATTCAGCAGTAAACAGGTTAAAAAGATAAAGACGCTAAGGCTACTGATCCCAGTGTTAAAGTAAAACCTCATCACCTGGCGATCGAGACAGAAGACAATGAAATTAAGTCACAACGCTGTTCCTGTAAAGCCGGGTAGGTCTTTATTCTCTGTTACAATCATTTAAAAGCAAACGCAGCATGTGTAGACATTCAGTATACTGTCAGAAGCTAGCGTAGCATCAAAGTGCTAACGCTATTTAACGATGTGCTACATTCTCTGCTAACGTTAGCTACACAGGTTTTTAACGTAGAAACGTCTCTCTGCCTCCACAAAGCCATCCTGAAAATGAAGAAAATCTGAAACCACTGCGAGAGAGTCCATGGAGCGGAGCCAGATAGTTGTTGGACCCTCATCAGACCTGGCCAACGCTGTGCTATGATTGGCCAGTGTGCATATGAGGGGCGGGACTTAGTGTGAATTCTGTGTCCTGTGTGTGAAGCCCCTTTACCTTACTGTACAAACAACTCTGAACAAACTGAATCAAAAGGGGCAGTGCAGAACAGCCAGCGCCTCAGAGCTCACATGCTTTCTGTTTACTATGTGTGTCATGAAGCATCAGGACATACAACTGACCTATTTTACAGCGCTGATGAGCGTGAACTCCACAGAAAAGTCCCTGCACTACACACCACTGCACCTCCACTACATCTTGTATTTGTGTACACTCGTACTTTCTCTGTGACATTAAAGGCATTTATTGGCAACATTATCGGTGCACTCCCTTTTGGTTGTACTTCCAAAGAAGAAAGATAGCTTATCTCTCAAAACAGTCCTCTTATCTACGAGCTGTCTGCTTAGGTTAGTAGCCCGTTTGGACCTGTCTCTAATGGTGTCGCTGTGTTTGGTGCTCTTTATTGAATTCCAACAAAGTTGATACAGCACAGATCCACTGAGTTTGTCAGATCAGCCTTTTTTATTAGAGCAAAAAACTCTTTGAGCTCACCAGTACCAAGTTACACAAGAGAGTGCTGCAGCCTTACTGATTTAAAATCCAAGATGAAATCATGGCTAAAGTCAACCCAATTATGACCTGTCTTAATATTGTGAAATCTTGTGGTTGTTGTTGTGTTGCCTTAATGTTGTTGTGATTATATTACAGTGGTGATTTTCTTGACATAGATGTTATTCTCTGTCTCTGTTGCTTAGCTTATAGCTAACTGAGGTGCATTTAAGAAGCGGTGCACTGTCCCTGTCAAATAAACAGGATTCGGACATTTTCCCCATCTCAAACGGTGGCATCTTAACTCACAGTGTTGCTGGTCCGAGCTGTGCAGAGGAGTGCCCGTTTGTGAGTTTTCTGCAGGAAAAAGGCTCGTTTTGATACCTGGCCTGCATGATCTGGCAACCCACTGCCCCTCACTGTCAGCTAGCTGCAGCTGAAGAGGGTTATAGAGCTGCAAACAAACACAACTGTGCTTATAAGCCATTCGAGACAGAATGTCCTTCCCAAAGTGAAGACTATACGGCCTTGCCTTTACGCAACACATTTGGTTCACAAATGTAATTTGTCACTGCATGCATGGAAAACCTCCTCAAGAGAACCGGCCCTTCGATTCTATTAAGCATGATCTAATTTAATAGACTATTAACTTTACGGCGGACTTCTCAGGGTGATGGCCTGTGGAGAGGAGGAATACAGCAGTTTATAAGACCACAGCCCAGCAAGTGCAGCCAAGTTCTCTAAATCATCTGCTGCACAGTTCATCGGGGATAACTGCACTATGGGCTGACTCAAGTCAGGACCAAAAGAGTCCCGACTGCCACTTACTTTTTGCACAGTGTTTCAACGCTTCCATCCCCTTTCCAGTTCCCTAATTACTCTCCTCGTAAGCACTAATGTCTCTTTCTCTCTTCCCCAATTCTATAAGACACTCGTCTTTGTGCCTACCTCCTCCTCTCTTTCTTTCCCCAGTTTGCCTCATTTGATTTTCCCACATTCACAGCTGCTGAGACATAACAGGAAGAAGTGGTTCCCTCCTTCTTTTCGCCATTTTTTCTGTTTTCCGCACCCTCCTCCCCTTCTTCCCCTTCCTCCCCTTCCTCCCCCCTCTTCCTCTGCATCCTCTCTGCTGCTGGTTTGATAACAGGCTGTCAGAAGTGTTTAATGTTTCTCAGAAAGCGCTGGCTGCCCCTCCAGGGCCACAGTTCTGCCGGTGGGCGGCTGGCAGGCGGGAAAATGACAATTGCATTTGCAGGCCAATGGAGAAACAAACATCTCAGGAGAGAGGGTGGTACGGAGAGAAGCACAGGGAGGAGAGAGCTCTCCCTCTCCCCCATGTTTCATCTGTCCTTTGATTGGACAGTGATTGTTATATGTGGACCTCAATGGAAGCCAGTAAAGGGCAGCAGTATAAACAAACGGTGTAATTACGAGACCCTAATGTGACACTAGGGGGGAGGGGGGAGAGGCAAGGGCCAGGGGGGGGGGGGGCTGTCTGCCAGTTTTATTCGATTAACTTTTTTTCTGTAGCATTTGTTTTGCCTGTTTGACTGGTATTTGAACTGACACTGACCTAAATTCTTCACTGTCTGACACACAGACGGACGTGCAGGCAGGCCAGCAGTCAGTGTAAAAGAAAGAGGACAGCGGCCCGCAGGGGGAACCGGAAGAACAGGTTCAATTCAGGAAAGTGAAGCCAAATAGGGAAGTGCTTTAAACTTGCATTCTTTCAAATGGCCAGCAGGGGGCGACTCTTCTGTTTTCAAAAAGAAGCCTGATTGTATAGAAGTCTATGAGTAAATGACTCTACTTCTCATTTGTTTGTTTCCCTCAGTAAACATTGTAAACATGTGTTTATGATCTCAATCGCTAATATCAAGTCTTCTTCAATACAACATGATGTTCATTTAGTAAATGATGGTCCATTTAGAGTGAAATAGACCATAAATAAAGCAGGGTATGCTTTAGGGCGGGGCTAACTTGTGATTGACAGGGAGGGGGACTACGTTCACTTCTGATATGCAGTCGATATTTTTATTCATTCTTCTCGGTTCAATCTCTATAAAACAAAACAATATTCTCAACATAACAAGTTGACGGGTTTTAAATTGTCCAGCAGTTTGACCCTGAAAGACTGACTGCTCATCTGCACACGTAACTTGAGTCGTAGAGCTATAAAGGGAGTGCATCTGTCTTTCTAGCTCTAACTTGATAAGACCAAGTTGTGTGATACCACATTGCAACTCTGTAATCCAACATATAAGATGCTTAAATCAACATCTCCAAGACTTTAACCCTATTATTCTGTTACAACGGAATAATAGATTGTTTTTATCAACAAGGAATCCTGCTTAAAGTTTCATGAGATAGAAGAAAAACCAAAAACAAAGACAAAATGCTGCACAGGGAAAAACAAAAACATGAAACTGGAGGATTGCACACTAATGAAGGAAATGCGTTTTTGCCTGTGCTACATTTTGACTGTGAAAGCCGAATAACAGGAACAATCACATTAACGTGGGTGTGGGAACCCTTTTGTACTCATGAGACGACAGCAATCTGTCATCTTCTGAATTACTGGCAAAATACAGAGACAATCTGTAATTCAGACAATAGGGACATTCATTCAGTTTGGGAATATTCCCATACCGGGAACAATAGTGACCTCCGTTCCTCAAATGAAACCAAGTGTTACTTAACAAGACAGTGCACTTTCAAATAGGCCTGGGCAACATATTGATACTATATTGATATTGTGAGATGAGACTAGATATCGTCTTATTGGAGGTCATAATTTCGTCATGTGGCATTTATGTAGTCTTTTCATGGTTTTTAAACAGTAAAATGCATTATCGATATCACCGTATCCGCCTGTAAATATTCTGATATCTGATTGTTATTCACACCAGAAACCAGAGGGCACATTAGTACTAATATTGTTATTGTTGGGGGACCATCAGTCAGTGATAGTGAGCTTGTAATTAACATCCACAACAGCCTATTACACACATGACATGTTATTATTATGAGGAAGAAGAAGAAGAAGAAGTGGGGCAAACAGCATCATCAGCAACGTTTGCAACACACACTATGCATAATGGAGAACAATGTATGCTGAAGCAGATGTAGACAAAATAAAAACAAGTATAGAGCTTTCATGAGGAGCAGAATGCAATTGAAGTCATATCAGACAGAAACAACAAATCATTTATCAGACCCCCACCCCTCCTCCTCCTCTTATGTAACGCAAAGTATGCTCTGGCTGATTAGCTGTTACTTAACATGCTCTGCTGCGGTGATACACGGTGCGGAGGAGAGGAGAGGACGCCTCGCGGAAGAAAATGGATGTCACACCGTGGAGGAGGAGGAAAGCCGGCTAAACGCCTGTGTTCTAATAAAACGACTAGAAAATTCGACAGCGGCTGTGTCACTTTCTTGCCAACAACACACGAGCAGCTCTTGTGCAACAGTTGTGCGGTTATCTCACACAAAGCGCAGCGGCAAAAGGTGAGCGATTGTTTTGGATTCACGCAGTCTATAGTTTGACTCCCATCCGTCGGCGCACGCTGCAGCGCGCGAGAAAGTTGACTGATGTTAGACCTACCCGATATTCCTCCGCCGACCACGATCACATCGTAAGTGTTGCCGGGTGCCGTCATGGTGCTGTCTGGTCCGTCTCTCCCCCTGCTCTGCCGTGGCTGAACGCAGAGCGCATGGAGGTGCGCATCTGTATTAAAAGCGCGGACAGGCCCACTCCCACCAGACTCCGCCCACTGGTAGTAGAGCAGCGCACTGCCTTGAGAGCAGGGGAGGTTTGTTGGGTTTCATGGACCTGCTGAGACAATACTTTTTTTTTTACGTCAGTTACAGGGGCGTAAATATAGGCCGTGCAGGCAGCGCATGGGGAGGGGGGTCAGAGAAGATTCACTACAACAATGTGTTACACAGGAATGGGCAGTTGTTGGTGGGTTAGAATGGTATACGACTATGTTCTAACAAAATCTACTAATAAGTGAAACATTCGCAATATTTAATCCCTCGAAAAGGCAAACCCAACTCCCGTTGTGATAGCGTGCACCGGGGCCCGTCATGATAGCGTGCACCGGGGCCCGTCATGATAGCGTGCACCGGGGCCCGTCATGATAGCGTGCACCGGAAACTGTCATGATAGCGTGCACCGGGGCCCGTCATGATAGCGTGCACCGGGGCCCGTCATGATAGCGTGCACCGGAAACCGTCATGATAGCGTGCACCGGGGCCCGTCGTGATAGCGTGCACCGGGGCCCGTCGTGATAGCGTGCACCGGGGCCCGTCGTGATAGCGTGCACCGGGGCCCGTCGTGATAGCGTGCACCGGGGCCCG